GACACAACGTTAGGGTCAAGGTCAGGGAACGTGCAATTTTTGCCAGTACTAATCGTGGGCACTTAGCAATGGTCTGGCAATACAAGTTCTAATTACTTCTTCTATTGTAGTAATACGCCAGTGCTCTGTGTGGGTGTGTGATTATCCTATTTAGAATGTACTTGATACGTCTGCTTTTGATAAAGGCCACCATGTGACTGATGGAGGTATGGTAAGTTAGGGGAGAGAGAGAGAGAGAGAGAGAGAGAGGGAGAGAGAGAGAGAGAGAGACAGAGAGAGAGAGACAGAGAGAGACAGAGACAGACGCGCACACAGAAGAGAAAGGAATGAGTAAGAGAGACGGGGGGGAGGGGCGCGATAATGCATGATGAGACTGTCGTGTCTTAGTGCCTACCGCTGCAGTCTCCCCCATCCCTTCGGGCAGCGGCTGGATGTTGATTGGCTGGATCAGACGAGAGATGCCATCGTAGAAGATCACCTCATACGAGCCTGTGGGGTTAAACGAAAATTGTGTTTCTAAATCAGAAGAGCACACATGACCTTTCATCTAAAGAGCGCTGGTATGCATGTTCATTTTAGCTTTAGTTAAGAGTTTTACAGCACTTGCAACAAAATTATAAGGGCTTATAGGAGTTGAAGAATAGAGGAGTTATAAGAGAGTAACAAACACAAAAAAGAAAGAGGGGAGATAAGGACGATACATGTTTGATACTGATAGGAAAGAAGAAGAAAACCACACCAGAGCAATCGCCAACCACCCACGAATTGGTCAAAGCTGATACAGAGTTGGTGGTTGGAGGGCGCCACTGGTAGGTCCTGTCTCTTTACTTTCCATTTGTTGTTTCTGTCTGTGTGTCTTACTTTTTCTACGGCACTAATTGACTGCTATGACAACAACAATCACAACAATAACAAAAACTATGACAACAAAAACAAAGACAAAATTGACAATAACAACGACAAAAAAAACCAACAAAAAAACAAACCCCAAAACAATAACAATAACAACGACAACAAAAACAACACCAACGACGGCAACTACAACGACAACGACAACAACAACTCACCATCATCCATCAATCTGTTGACCTTGGCCGGATACTTCTTACAGTCTGTCCACTTGGCCAGCACACGCTCACCCGCTCTGTAGATCTGTTAGGTTGGAGGGGGGAGAGAGGAGGGGGAAGAGGGGGAGAGGAAGAGAGAGAGATTGAGAGAGAGAG